TCTTCCACCACACCTTCAGGCCGAATTTGATGCGGTGTGGTGCCGGGGCACGGTAGGGAAGACAATCGTTGCCCAGTGACTCAGACCCCCTGTCTCGACCATCGTTGCCCGGTGACTCAGACCCCCTGTCTCTCCCGGATCTCTCCCCTTCCACTCACAGGCCGACTTTGATGTGGTGTGGTGCCGGGGCACAGTAGGCGAGACCATCTTCGCCCCTTGGATCCAAACCATGGAAGCTTCTGGGAACTTCCGCTTCCTGCCCAACCGACGCGTCACAGGTGGGCGACGTAGGGTGCGGGTGCTGAGAGACGGGGGGGAAGGTGGGTAGGAGAGAGGAGTTCTGAGACGTCTCAAAAGCTGACGCGTCACAGGTGGGTGACGTGGGGTACGGGTGCTGAGAGGCGGGGGGAGAATGTGGGGGGGAGAGAGGAGGGGGCTGTGGATAAGGGAATTATTGTGCCGTTGACAGCTGAGGGCTGAGGGGTTGCGTGCCAGGCATTTCGCAGCAATGTTGAGTGGTTGAGAGGTGTGTTATGGACGCCTACTGGCGTCATCTTTGAGAATTCTCTAGTGGCCTTCTCTATGTGGCCTTCTCTCTCTATGTGGCAACTCCTCCTTCTATCTCTTCCCCCTCGCCGCCTCCCTCCTGTGCCAGACATTGCAACGGCTGAGGACGATCCGGACAGAGTCACAGCGGTGGTGTGCGGTGACGAGGTGTTTGCGGCGGATGCAGTGGTGTCAGCAGTGGGCATCTCAGGCCTCAAAAACATTGTCGCTTCGAGGTGAGTTGAGTCAATTTCGGCGCTGCCTTTAGGTGAGTGGTGCTGCACGGTATGTCCAGGTGAAAGGTAACCGCAGCGTGTGTGCAGCGCATGCAGTGGTGTCAGCAGTGGGCATATCAGGCCTCAAGAACATCGTCGCTTCGAGGTGAAAGCTGCTGAGGCCAAGACGTAAAGACAAACTGCCTTCAGACATATTCCCAGCGAGCTGCAGACTTAACGAGTCGACTGAAAACACGGCTCCAGAGGCCAAGATGTAAAGTCAAACTGCAGTAAAGTACATTGTGTTGAGACTTCCCATGACACGTTCACATTGTTGCGTGGAGGTGCGAGGCCAAGATGCCAAGACAAACTGCGTGTAAGTAACCACTGTGCTTCTTTTCGAGACGTTTCACATTGTCGGCTCTGGGTGATTGTTTTTGAGGCCGAAGTGCAGAGACGAACCGCTGTGTCCAGGTGTGTATTGCCAGGCTATGCTGCCTTTTGGGTACCTCATGCGTAACCCCCCCTTCTCCTTCCCACCCTCCTCTCCCTCTCGCCCCTCTCCTCTCGCCCTCTCCCCTCGCCTGTGCATTGCCCCCACCTCCTCAGCCCAGCACTGTCCAGCAGGAAGGAGTTTCTCTGCATGGCGAGTCTGTCTCTAAGGCGCCTTCAAACAACCGCCCCTTTGTCTTCACTCAGCTCTCCCTCTCGCCCCTCTTCTCCCCCCTCTGCTGCCCCCACCTCCTCAGCCCAGCGCTGTCCAGCAGGAAGGAGTTTCTGGGCGTGGCGAACCTGGGTGCAATTGATGTGCTGGCAGTGCGGTTGTGGCTCGACAGGAAGGTGCGTGGAGGGGTGCAGTGCGGTGAGGGGGTATGCTGAGAGGTGCTGTGAGTTGCCTTGACCATGTTATTCGGAGGCTATCGATGTGCTGGCAGTGCGGCTGTGGTTGGACAGGAAGGTGCGTGTGAGGGTATGCTGAGGGGTGCAGCGCGGTATTTAGATATTGGAATCTGGGGGCCATCGACGTGCTGGCAGTGCATTTCTGGCTCGACAGGAAGGTGAGAAGGGCAGTGCAGTGCAATGCGGCGAGGGGGTGTGCTGAGGGGTGCAGTGAGGTGCATAGGCATTGGAATCTGGGGGCCATCGGCGGACTTGCAGTACAGGAGAGAAGGGTAGCAGTAGGCCCGCTCGTGCAACTTTTGAGGCGCCTCAAAAGCCATCGACGTACTGGTAGCAAAGGAGAAAGGGGTAGCAGTAGGCCCGTTTGTGCAGGGCAAAGCAGGACTTGATCCCAAGCGACCTTCATTCCTCAAGCAATCTTCGCTCCCGCTGCCTCCTGCCATGCAGATCAGCATCCCCAAACCGTCCAATGCGAGCTTCGGCTTTGATGAGACAACGGGGTGGGCATTCCAGTGAACGTGTTCCTCTCGCCCCATGTTCTTCCCTCCTTCCCCTCCATGCCCGCTCCTCTCACAGATCACCATCCCCAAGCCATCCAACGCGTGTTTCGGTTTTGACGAGACAACAGGGTGGACCTTCTTTGATCTCAACGCCATTCACGATGAGTACAAGGACGAGCCCTGCACCGTCGTTGAAGCAGACTTTGTGAGTCGCCTTTTGACCCTCATTAACCCTTGTTGACCCTCATTAACCCTTGTTGACCCTCATTAACCCTTGTTGATCCTCATTAACCCTTGTTGACCCTCATTAACCCTTGTTGATCCTCATTAACCCTTGTTGATCCTCATTAACCCTTGGTGACCCTCATTAACCCTTGTTGGCCCTCATTAACCACCGCCACCGCCACCGCCACCCCCACCGCCACCGCCACCTCCACCGCCACCGCCACACCGCCACCACCACCGCCACCGCCACCGCCACCGCCACCGCCACCGCCACCGCCACCGCCACCTCCACCTCCACCGCCACCGCCACCGCCACCGCCACCGCCACCGCCACTGCCACCTCCACCGCCACCGCCACCGCCACCGCCACCGCCCGGTACCAGGCGAACCAGTATTTGCCCAAGTCAGACAAGCCCATTGCCTCTCAGCTCAGAGCTGCACCACGCTCACCCATACTCCTGGTCACTCCCTGTCAGTCACTCCCTGTCATTCCGTGTCACTCCCTGTCACTCCCTTTCACCCCTTCAAACCCCCCACCACCACCAGCAGTACCACGCAAACCTGTATCTGCCCATGTCAGATGAGGCGATAGTGGCAACGGTCATGCGTTGCCTCGCCACCTTCATGCCTGCGCAACGCTGCCTCTTACTCACCACTGCTCCCTGTCTCTCCCCATCGCTCCCTTTCACTTCCTATCACTCCCTGTCACCGCATTCGCCAGTACCACGCGAATCAGTATCTGCCCATGTCAGACGGGGCAATAGTGGCAACGGTCATGCGCTACCTCTCTTTCCCCCTACCCACACACACTCCTCCCCTATCCATCCCCCCTTTCCCACAGTACCACGCGAATCAGTATCTGCCCATGTCAGACGGGGCAATAGTGGCAACGGTCATGCGCTACCTCGCCACGTGCATCCCAGCTCTTGATTGAAGCAACCCCTCTTGCTCTCTGCTCTTCCCTGCTCTCCCCTGATCCCCCCGCTCAACCCTCCTCCCCCACAACCACCAGTACCACGCGAATCAGTACCTGCCCATGTCAGACGAGGCAATAGTGGCAACGGTCATGCGCTACCTCGCCACGTGCATCCCAGCTCTTGATTGAAGCAACCCCTCTTGCTCTCTGCTCTTCCCTGCTCCCCCCTGATCCCCCCGCTCAACCCTCCTCCCCCACAACCACCAGTACCACGCGAATCAGTACCTGCCCATGTCAGACGAGGCAATAGTGGCAACGGTCATGCGCTACCTCGCCACGTGCATCCCAGCTCTTGATTGAAGCAACCCCTCTTGCTCTCTGCTCTTCCCTGCTCCCCCCTGATCCCCCCGCTCAACCCTCCTCCCCCACAACCACCAGTACCACGCGAATCAGTACCTGCCCATGTCAGACGAGGCAATAGTGGCAACGGTCATGCGCTACCTCGCCACGTGCATCCCAGCTCTTGATTGAAGCAAACCCTCTTGCTCTCTGCTCTTCCCTGCTCCCCCCTGATCCCCCCGCTCAACCCTCCTCCCCCACAACCACCAGTACCACGCGAATCAGTACCTGCCCATGTCAGACGAGGCAATAGTGGCAACGGTCATGCGCTACCTCGCCACGTGCCTCCCTGCCTTCGCCTCTGCCCAAGTCACCGACAGTGCTGTCGTGCGCTTCCCCAGAGCCGTCACCCACTTCTCCCCAGGTGCGTTGCTTTGTGTGGGTGGGTTGCGTGGAGAAGAGGGGTGGGGGAAGGGGAGAAGGGGAAGGGAACTGGGGAAGGGGAGGGGGTTAAGGGGAAGGAGGGGAGGGGAAGTGGAGGAACAGCCATGCGGTACCTCGCCACGTCCCTCCTTGTCTTCGCCTCTGCCCAAGTCACCGACAGTGCTGTCGTGCGGTTTCCCCGCGCCATCACCCACTTCTCCCCAGGTACATTGGTTGGTGTGGGTGGTTGGGTGGGCGTAGGGGTAAGGGGAAGGAGGGAAGGGGAAGTGGAGAAGGGGAAGGGGGGAAGGGGAAGGGGGAGAAGCGAAGGGAGGAATGGGGCCGAGAGCAACGGTCATGCGCTACCTTGCCACGTGCATTTCTGCCTTTGCCTCTGCCCAAGTCGCCGACAGAGCTGTCGTGCGGTTCCCTAGAGCTGTCACCCACTTCTCCCCAGGTAGGCTCCCGCTTCCCTGTGCCATGCAGTTGTGTCTGCTGTGGCTTTGATGGGGTGGGTGTGCGCGTGTGTGGTGTGTAGTTGTTTCCCTGCCTTCGCCTCTGCCCAAGTCACCGTCAGTGCTGTCGTGCAGTTCGCCACTCCTCCCTTCACCACCAGCTGCACCAAGCTCTTCGTGGCAGGGTGTGTCCATCCAACCAACCCCTTCCATCTCCCCCTCTGTTCTCCATCGTCTATCCCCCTTTCAAACCAGGCTCCTACCAGCACCTATTGCCTGCCACCTCCAGCTGCACCAACCTCTTCATGGCTGGCTGCATGCTCTGTCCAACCCTCCTCTCCCCATCTCTGCCCCCTCTTTCCTTCCGCCATCAACCAGGCTCCTATCAGCACCTGTTGCCAGCCACCACCAGCTTCACCAATCTCTTCATGGCCGGGGACTGGATCATCACTCGCCATGGCTCGTGGTCGCAGGTAATGGAAATGGGTTGGGCTGTTTGGATCAGAATCGCAGTTATAGCATGCGTCATGGCGTTCGGGTAAGGATGGACATGGTACCAGCCTCCTCCCCCCCGCCACCACCAGCTTCACCAATCTCTTCATGGCCGGGGACTGGATCGTCACTCGCCATGGCTCGTGGTCGCAGGTATGGGTAATGGCATGGCTTATGGTAAGGTGTGGCATGGGTCATGCTCCTCGGTATGGGCTATGGTGTTTGCTATTGTTCTCCACCCTCCCCGCCACCACCAGCTTCACCGTTCGTGGCCGGGGACTGGATCGTCACTCGCCATGGCTCGTGGTCACAGGTATGGGGTGTGTAGTGTAGCCGCATGTATGGCTTCGGTCAGGTCAGGGTCGTGTTGCTGGTGGGGAGGTGTGGATTCCATACAACTAATTCGCGCACAACACCCTGAACCCAATCTATCCATCCCATCAGGAAAAGGCATATGTGACAGGCCTAGAGGCAGCGAACCGGGTTGTGCGGCTGGTGGTGGAGGGGGAGCCAGCAACCATAATCCCGGTGGAGCGGGATGAGGAGCACATAGAGCAGCTAAGGCAGCTCAACCAGTCAGCAAAGCAGGCCATCAACCTGCTGCCGTTTGCCGGTACACTGCTGCAGTAACATGTGTGTGGGAAGAGGGGGAGTAGAAGGGACGAGGAGCACATGGAGCAGCTCCGAATATGCAGTAACTTCAGATTGTTCAATGCTTTCCTTACGCTTATAGGAATTCATCCACATTTTGACAAATTATCCACAAGAATAGCCAGAATCGTAGCCGCCGCACTTTTCTTTGAGCACAAACGAAGTTGGAAATGCTACGATAGGTGTACTTGAACATGAGTCATCCGAATAAGCAATAACATTCAGGTTGTTCGATATTTTTTCCTACCTTCGACTCATTTGTCGGCAAAAACTCCAAAATCGTAGGCACCAGACTTTTATTTTAGCAGGGTTTAGGGTGAAAATATCATCGATAGGTGTATTTGAACATGAGCCATTTGAATATGCATTAACATTCAGGTTGTTGAATGTTTTTCCCTACGCCTATAGAGAAGCATGCACTTTCTAAACATTTGTCGGCAAATACAGCCGAAATCATAGGCGCCGAACTTTTCTTTGCGCACGAACCAAGCAGAAAGGCTCTAATACTGTAGGTGTATTTGAACATGAGCCACTCAAATAAGCAATAACATTTAGGATGTAGAATGATTTCCCAACGCCAATTGGGCTTCATTCGCTTACATTTGTCGAAAAACGCAATCGAAATTGGTAATGGTAGTGGTAATTGTCAAAATATGTTCGTCACTTTATACAATTGTTTGTGGTTTGTAGTGTAGTTAGCTAGCCTTGTTTGTGGTGCACCACTTATTGCATTGTTACTTGTATAACTTGGGCAGTTGGCCCTATAGTAAACCATTATCTCTCCACATTTTTGTCTCAACTCTCTCGTTCGCCGAACTTTCCTATGTGTAAGAACCAAGCCGGAAAGGCTCCACTAGGTGTATTTGAACATGAGCCACTCGAATGTGCAATGGTATTGAGGTTCTTGAATGCTTTTCCCTACACCTGTGGGGATTCGTGCGCATCCTAGGCATTTGTCAGCAAAAACGGCCGAATTCGTGGGCGCCGAACTTTCCTGTGCGCACGAACCAAGCCGGAAAGGCTCCAATAGGTGTATTTGAACATGGGCCACTCGAATGTGCAATGATATCGAGGTTCTTGAATGCTGTTCCCTACACTTATGGGGATTCGTGCGCATCCTAGGCGTTTGTCGGCAAAAAACGGCCGAATTCGTAGGCGCCGAACTTTCCTGTGCGCACGAACGAAGCCGGAAAGGCTCCAATAGGTGTATTTGAACATGGGCCACTCGAATGTGCAATGATATCGAGGTTCTTGAATGCTTGTCCCTACACCTATGGGGATTCGTGCGCATCCTAGGCGTTTGTCAGCAAAAACGGCCGAATTCGTGGGCGCCGAACTTTCCTGTGCACACGAACCAAGCCAGAAAGGCTCCAATAGGTGTATTTGAACATGGGCCACTCGAATGTCCAATGATATCGAGGTTCTTGAATGCTTTTCCCTACACCTATGGGGATTCGTGCGCATCCTAGGCGTTTGTCAGCAAAAACGGCCGAATTCGTGGGCGCCGAACTTTCCTGTACACACGAACCAAGCCGGGAAGGCTCCAATAGGTGTATTTGGACATGAGCCACTCGAATGTGCAATGATATCGAGTTTCTAGAATGCTGTTCCCTACAGTTATGGGGATTCGTGCGCATCCTAGGCGTTCGTCAGAAAAAACAGCCGAATTCGTGGGCGCCGAACTTTCCATTGCGCACGAACCAAGCCGGAAAGGCTCCAATAGGTGTATTTGAACATGAGTCACTCGAATGTGCAATGATATCGAGGTTCTTGAATGCAGTTCCCTGCACCTTTGGGCATTCGTGCGCATCCTACGCGTTAGTCGGCAAAAAACGGCCGAATTCGTGGGCGCCAAACTTTCCATTGCGCACGAACCAAGCCGGAAAGGCTCCAATAGGTGTATTTGAACATGAGCCACTCGAATGTGCAATGATCTCGAGGTTCTTGAATGCTTTTCGCTACACCTATGGGGATTCGTGCGCATCCTAGGCGTTTGTCGGCAAAAAACGGCCGAAATTCGTGGGCGCCGAACTTTCCTGTGCGCACGAACCAAGCCGGGAAGGCTCCAATAGGTGTATTTGAACATGGGCCACTCGAATGTGCAATGATATCGAGGTTCTTGAATGCTTTTCCCTAACACCTATGGGGATTCGCGCGCATCCTAGGCGTTTGGCGGCAAAAACGACCGAATTTGTGGGCGCCGAACTTTCTTGTGCGCACGAACCAAGCCGGAAAGGCTCCAATAGGTATATTTGAAGATGGACCACTCGAATGTGCAATGATATCAAGGTTCTTGAATGCTTTTCCCTACCACATATGGGGATTCGCGCGCGTCCTAGGCGTTTGGCGGCAAAAAACGGCCGAACTCGTGGGCGCCGAACTTTCCTGTGCGCACGAACCAAGCCGCAAAGGCTCCAATAGGTGTATTTGAAGATGGGCCACTCGAATGTGCAATGATATCGAGGTTCGTGACTGCTTTTCCCTACACCTATGGGGATTCGCGCGTGTCCTAGGCGTTTGTCGCAAAAAACGGCCGAATTTGTGGGCGCCGAACTTTCCAGTGCGCACGAACCAAGCCGGAAAGGCTCCGATGGGCGTATTTGAACATGGGCCCTCGAATGTGCAATGATATCGAGGTTCTTGAATTCTTTTCCCTAACACCTATGGGGATTCGCGCACGTCCTAGGCGTTTGTCGGAAAAAACGGCCGAATTCGTGGGCGCCGAACTTTCCTGTGCGCACGAACCAACCGGTAAAGGCTCCAATAGCTGTATTTGAATATGGGCCACTCGAAGGTGCAATGATATCGAGGTTCTTGAATGCTTTTCCCACACCTATGGGGATTCGCGCGCATCCTAGGCGTTTGTCGGCAGCAAATTCGGGGCCGAAGTTTCATGTGCGCACGAACCAAGCTGGAAAGGCTCCGACATGTGTATTTGAACATGGGCCACTCGAATATGCAATGATATCGAGGTTCTTGAATGCTTTTCCCTACCACCTATGCGGATTCGCGCGCATCCTAGGCGTTTGTCGGCAAAAACGGCCGAATTCGTGGGCGCCGAACTTTCCTGTGCGCATCCAAGCCGGAAAGGCTCCGACATGTGTATTTGAACTTGAGCCACCGAACATGCAATTATATCTAGGTTCTTGAATGCTTTTCCCTACACCTATGGGATTCGCGCGCATCCTAGGCGTTTATCGGCAAAAACGGCCGAATTCGTGGGCGCCGAACTTTCCTGTGCACACGATCCAAGCCGGAAAGGCTCCGACATGTGTATTTGAACATGAGCCACCCGAACATGCAATGATATCAAGGTTCTTGAATGCTTTTCCCCACACCTATGGGGATTCGCGCACATCCTAGGCGTTTGGCAGCAAAAACGGCCGAATTCGTGGGCGCCGAACTTTCCTGTGCGCACGAACCAACCCGGAAAGGCTCCACATGCTGTATTTGAATATGGGCCACTCGAAGGTGCAATGATATCGAGGTTCTTGAATGCTTTTCCCAACACCTATGGGGATTCGCGCGCATCCTAGGCGTTTGTCGGCAAAAAAAACGGCCAAATTCGTGGGCGCCGAAGTTTCATGTGCGCACGAACCAAGCTGGAAAGGCTCCGACATGTGTATTTGAACATGAGCCACTCGAATATGCTATGATATCGAGGTTCTTGAATGCTTTTCCCTACACCTATAGGGATTCGCGCGCATCCTAGGCGTTTGTCGGCAAAAACGGCCGAATTCGTGTGCGCTGAACTTTCCTGTGCGCATCCAAGCCGGAAAGGCTCCGACATGTGTATTTGAACATGAGCCACCCAAGCATGCAATGATATCAAGGTTCTTGAATGCTTTTCCCTACACCTATGTGAGAAGAAACGAGAATGAATGAAGTATGAATGAATTGGGTACAAGTACTAACCCTAATTGGGGTTGTACCCCTTGTGGGCTACTCCACTATAGCCTACACACTATGCATAAGCTACAATGTTCTGACACACCCCCATAGGCAAAAGTGGGGAGAACAAGGGGTCACAAGACCAGTCAAGCCAAGCAAAGCAAGCTCAGGGTGGATCACAAAGTCACCACACATTCCGAGCACAAGTTCAAGGCCACAAGGCCAGTTCACATGCAGGATTACATATATCTATAAGGCTAGGACAAGCAAGAGCAGGAGTATATATATATGTAACAGTACAAGCAAGGTCAAGGAGGTGAGCAAGTGAGGCAAGGTAGGCACAAGGCCCAGGTGAGTACAGAAGCGCTGATGGTCACAAGGCGCAAAGTGCCTTGGTGAAGATATCAGCAGTGTTGGCCTCAGGGGCCACGTACGCAAGACGCAGCTGACCACGCTGCTGCAGCCTCACGAGCAAGAAAGTAGCGGAGAGCAATGTGCTTTGTTCTGTGCTCCAGTCGTTGCTCCCGACACAGAGGCCAGCATGGCCTTGTTGTCTACGTACAGCACTGGAGGAGAACGAGGCGGCTCTCCGAGGTCAGTCAGCAGGTAGGTGAGCCAGCGAAGCTCCTGTGCAGCCATGGCCCAGCGTAGATCTCAGCCTCACAACTGGAGCCGAGAACAGAAGACGAGCGGGTAGCCCGCCACGAAACAGAGCCGGAACCAAGGCTGAAGGTGTAACCCTGTGACGACCGCTGCGTAGCCTGGTCGTTAGCCCAAGAAGCGTCTGCGTTGCCCAGTGAGGACCACTGGACTTTGCCCTCCAAGCACAAGCCCCATGCCCGACGTACTGCACAAGTAGCGCAACACCCTCTTCGCTGCAGCCATGTGCTCCGGTCTGTGTCTCCCAGGAGCAACATAGTGTGCGAGAATGCTAAGAGGGTATGCAAGGTCAGGTCGAGTGCAGGTCATCAGTACATGAGGCAGCCAACAAGCTCTGGGTACGGGCCACTCGACTCTACGGACTCATCCGAAGGCAGAGCTGGAGAGCGAGTGGCGAGTAGGCAGAGGAGTGGCCTGAGGCGAGGAGT